AATATATGAATATATTAGAGTTTTCCTAACTTAAACTTTGGTTAACAGACAGATATGTACCGATATTAACACACGGTTAGAACTGTATTTTAATTTTTTTGTGACCTGTCACAAAATACGTTTTGCTTATTTTTTTTGTTACAGCTCCAAAAAGTGTGCATTATACAAGGTTTCCAGAAAATTATTTTGTGATATTTAAAACACTCATAAACAGCTTTCTGATTGACATATTTTTGGCAATGCCTTGTATACAGGGTGGTCCAGCGGTAACGCCTCGGTCTGTATATTCAAAACTAAACTTTTTTTAAAAAATCGGTTTTTACGGTGAGATGTATATCAGAAAAGACAACAACTTAAAAATAATTTCAATAATACAGGGTGTTCCAGGAAATTGGAATATAACAATGTTTGGTTTTTTAATCGGGAGACCCAATATTTTATTGCATTTTTGAAATATACAAAGAAAATTAGTGTAACTTTGTTAAGGGGTTGTTATACCTAGAGTCTATCATTTTTGATATATTCGAGGATTTTCAAAATTTTGGGGTGTTTAAAAACTGCAAATATATCCTACATTTCTTAATATTTCAAAGTGATTTTTTTAAGGTACATTAAGCGTCTTCTGGGCTGTAACCTCAAATACTTACTGATAAAAAATATCGTATAGGGTGTTTACGAAATAGATATTTATTTTACGTAGATTTAAACACCGAAAACTTCGTTATTTTAAATAGAACACCCAGTATATTTTAACATTATTAGAAATAAAGGGAAGTAAAAGACTCAAAGTCTGTCGACCACATAAATTTATTCGGTTGGGTTGCAAGCGCTTTCGACCTAAAAGGTCATCATCAGGCAAAAATTTTTGAAAGTGAGTAGGTAGGTAGGTACAATCTGCAATAATACCTACCTACCTACTCACTTTCAAAAATTTTTGCCTGATGATGACCTTTTAGGTCGAAAGCGCTTGCAACCCAACCGAATAAATTTATGTGGTCGACAGACTTTGAGTCTTTTACTTCCCTTTAATCTACTTCGGACCACTTTGAGATATGGATAATATTTGGAATTTAATTATTAGAAATATCTTTCGAAACCCTTTCAAACAATATACATAGGTATTCCCTATACCTATATGTATGTTGTTGTTTTTAGAAAATAGTCTAGTTCTTATAATTTATGTAAATAATTCATTAAATTTAGTTACTCAAGGTGTCTGGGCATTGATTGTCAATTTATATCATTTTAAATTAAACTGTTTTCAATAGGTATTATTTTGTGTTTTGTGCAATGTTATTATTAAAATGAAGCAATATTGTATGCAAGAAATGGTGGATATGATTCTCACCATAGGTGAGTGTTATGAAAACTGTTTTTTAGCAACACGGGTTTATGCCCAAAAGTATCTAGACAGAAATCAACCGGATAAGAGAACTTTTGAAAGAGTTTTAGAGCGTTTTTGTACAACAGGCAGTGTTGCATATTCAAAACAAACTGTGAGTAAACCCGTAGATGATAATGAAGACAACGAATTTCTAGTATTAGGTTCAGTAACGGAGAATCCTCACATTAGCACCAGGGACATTTCGAGGCAAATGGATATACCTAGAACCAGTGTAATGAGAATTCTCAAGAAACACCGATTCCACCCTTACCATATCCAATTTCATCAACATTTATATGGTACTGATTTTCAACGACGCATAGATTTTAGTTTATGGGCGCTAGAACAGGTAGGAGAAAATAGAGACTTTTTCGATTTTGTCTTATTTACAGGCGAATCCACTTTCCATAACAATGGCTTAGTAAATCGCAATAATTTCCATTACTATGATACAGAAAATCGGCACCTATTTAGAACTATTGACCGACAAAACAGAAGGAGTATAAATGTTTGTGGGGGGATTATTGAAGAGAAAGTTTTTTAATAGTCATCTAAATGGAAATAATTTTTTGAGGTTCCTTCGTTCAGATTTTTGGCTGCTTCTCGAAGATATACCATTGAACGTACGGCAACAAATGTGGCTACAATTAGATGGTGCTCCTTCTGATTTTGCGCGGAACGTGAGAAATTACTTAGATCGGAAATGTCCTAATAAATGGATAGGAAGAGGAGGCCCATGCCATTGGCCACCTAGATCACCCTGTTTAACACCCCCAGACTTTTTTATGGGGTTACATAAAAAGTCTTGTATACAATACCCCAGCAACCACGCCAGAAGATATGAAGAAATGAATTAAGAATCCATTTGCAACTATTACGCCGGATATGCTAAAAAGAGTAAGAAATTCGTTTGAACGAAGGATCACAATGTGTATTCAAGAAGACGGTCATCATTTTGAACATCTATTAAATTAATTTATTATATTGTATTATTTTGTAATTCGTGTTTCAAAAAAAAAATGTAACAATGTTAGTAAAACTATCACAGATAGGTATAGGGAATACCTACATCGTTTGAAAGGGTTTCGAAAGATACTTCAAATAACGTTAAAATATATTTGGTTTTCTATTTAAAATAACGAAGTTTTTAGTGTTTAAATCTACGTATAATAAATATGTATTTCGTAAACAACCTATATAATATTTTTGATCAGTAAGTGTTTGAGGTTACAGCCCAGAAGACGCTTAATGTACCTTAAAAAAATCAATTTGAAATATTAAGAAATGTAGGATATATTTGCATTTTTTAAACACCCGAAAATTTTGAAAATCCTCGAATATAACAAAAATGATAGACTCTAGGTATAACAACCCCTTAACAAAGTTACACTAATTTTCTTTATAGATTTCAAAAATTCAATAAAATATAGGGTGTCCCGATTAAAAAACCTAACTTTGATATATTGCAATTTCCTGGAGCACCCTGTATTATTAAAATTATTTTTAAATTGTTGCCTTTTCTAATATACATCTCACCGTAAAAACTGATTTTTTAAAAAAAGTTTAGTTTTGGATATACAGACCGAGGCGTTACCGGTGGACCACCCTGTATAATAAATATAGGTACATACACTTTTCAAAAAGGTACAAAAACGTATTTAAATAAAGCAACATCGATAGTTTTTACTTGATTTCTGTGATGTGTACATACATTGCATGTTAATATAAATTAAAAATAATCTAAATATACTTCCTCTAATACCTACTTTTCTTTCATATTTTTTTACTTTTTTATTTTTTATTTTTTAATCATAAATAACGATAGTTAGCGTTAATTGCAAGATATTGAAACTGAAAAAATATTTTCTGTAAATTGACACATTATATGGTAATTGGGGCTAATTGACAAGTAATTAGCAATAATAAGTATAAGTACCAATTAGTCTAATTGACAAATATTTAATTATTATAAATTCAACGGTAATAATCAAGGTAACTTCCAATTCCAAAACTATCAGTGTTGCTTTATCTTACCGAACTAAAAACTGAGATAATACTATCCCTAAAAAACTATAAAACTTTTCTATTATTTTGTTTTATTAATCTTAAATATTATTTCATGCATTATCCATTTGAGATTGCAAGATAACAAATGCTCATATTACTAATAAAGGTATCTAAGAAGTAAGCAAAAGCTCATCTATGTTTTAAATTTAATATTATCAAAAATTAAGGTTTGAAAATAAAAGTTATATATATTTTTTTCATTTTGCCGTTAAGTCGTAAATGGGCAGAGATGTCTTAGGAAAATTCTGAATTCGATCTTATTCTAGATGAACATAATTTTGAGACCCAAATAATCATTATTAAAAAAAGAAATATAGACTTTAAGTAGTAATTCTTGTCATAATTATTGCTTTATTTTATTCTTGGTAACTCTAAAGATGTATATTTTTTAGTTTCTTTTTCAAAAAATTAAAACTTCACTCAATTAAAATGTATTATTATTATTTTCAACTAGAACAAGATTATTATATATAAAAATTCATTTTATCACTTACGCGACAGGTGTCTGGCTATATACGCTAAAGTTAATGATATGTCTGCTTTTATTAAGCTTACTTTTTAAAAAATACACCTGCCATTCAGTATCTATCTGGCTGGTTATTTAAATCATTGGTTTATTGCTACAAATTTAAAACAGAAATATATTAAAAAGTATAAATACTATTCTCAGACGATTATCAATAGGTACTACTAGTAAACAAAGCTCGACAAAAATGTCATCTGCAGTGTACGGAAATTGCCATTGAAATAGCTTAAAGAAATTTTATAAAAAAAATTACCCGAGAACGTTTATCGGATGTCATATCAGTTATCTTATGAGGCACGTGATGAGGTGTTTTCCGAAATGTATTTTTTAAGTTGGCAAAACTGATAATAATGTCTCAGAAAGTAATTAATTATTTTCAAAAATATAAAAGGAGAATGAATGTTTTAAGAAAAAACGATAACTTAATAAAATCCCATGAAAGGAATACTACTGTTTACGAAAATACTAAAATTAAGGTGAAATCGATTCGGAAAAGCTGTACAGCCTCAAATTGTTCGGCAATCTGTCATATGGAATAAATCACGGTTGAGAAGTTTAATTTGAGTGAAATCCCAACTTAAAACATTTCCGAAACTCCGCCTGTATTTCACGTGGAAAACACTTTCGGAGATTTTTTAAATTTCCGTAAATAAAAGAAGCTAGAAATGGTATTTTCCGTTCACCGAGAAGAATCTAATAAAATACAAAACTTAACTTTTAGGGCACCTTTGGTTTAGCTTAATTTCATTTTTATATATTAAGAAAATTAAGTATTCAAGCAATCTGATCAAATTTTAGCTTGATGCAGTTCACCTATACTTATCACGTTATCAATAATTACTGTCCAGTAATTTTCTAAATATTATAACTACAACAGTTAACAGAGATAGATTAAAGTTTCTCTATAGAAGTGTCGAAACAACAGCCGTCTAATTTTATTTATTTTTTCTCTTCTGGACTCCTCAGCAGTGTCCTGAGATCACCATCGCATTTTGTTGTCAAGTAGTTAGAGGCATGTAAGAGTTAAGATTGTCCAGTTTCTTCTCCTTTTGTTCCCTAGAATGGTTAAATTAAGAATTAGTATGCATTTTAAATAGAATAAACCTAAGAAGATGAGTTTTTATTTTGGCAAAATATATTCAGAATTATTACATTGTTAAACATCTGTATTACCGAAGCTATGACCTAAAGGTATTGTAATGAAGATGTAAGTCACGAAAAATGCAGTTTTGAATCACATAACCATCAAGCTACTGCTAGATTATACAGATTAGTTTTTCTCTTCTTAGTACTCTGCCTTTTTGTCAATAAGTGTAAGATTATAGGATATAGGACCAGGAAAACAAGTGATCCTTAGGCTCTAATATATAATTAATAAAAATTGTTGCTTGATTTTCAATGACAAACATTATTTGCCAAACTGGTCGAATTAGGTAATATATGAACTCCAGGTAAATAGACTTTTTTAGTTATTGTTCTCAACCATTTTTATGAACTTTTCCAGTCGATAAGGGGCCCCAAAATTTCAAGTAGCCGCGCCTATAAATCTATGGGGATTAACATTCATGGACATGCATGGTCAGCTTAAGGTTATTTTGGGAATACACGATCTGTATCTGTAACGTGTGGAACGTGGGTGACCCCCACGACACTTAGTCCTCATTAGGCCCATTGTGCATTCTCCTAAGATGATAGGCACCTCCTAGCTCGTGAGCCAGCCTATAGATTTAATGTAGTTGAAAACGTCGCCAAGAAGTGCTTCTCTTATATCGGCTGGTCTTAGCTGATATTCGCCGAACACAAATCTGCTAATAAATGAGAGCGTCGAACAATCGTAAAGGATATGCTCGATGGTCTCATCTTCTTGTTCGCACCCTCTGCAGAGTGCGGATTTTGACAGCCCCATGATATGGAGATGCTTCCGTACTTGGCAGTGACCAGTCAGAAGGCCTCTGACTAGGCACAGGATTTGGTCTAGTCATAGTCAAGTATTTGTTTGCTGCAGTGTTGTCAGAATAACTTAAGAGCTCCCTGGCAACTCTGCAGTTTCTTGTTTCATTCCATTTTTCCTTGAATTTCACAAGAGAATGTTCTTTAATTAGGTCTATCACTACCGATTTTGTCAGGCCAATAGAAGGCCAGGTCCAAAAAGTACTTGGTTGGCTGCTTTCTTGGCTAGTGAATCAGCAAGACGGTTTCCTTTCGATGTGGCGTGCGTGACCTTTGATCCATCTTAAGGTGACCACATTGTTGATGGACACTTCGGCCAAAGCTTCGTGACATTCTAGTATTAACCCTGAGTAAATTCGTGGTCTGTTCAGGGTGAGAAGTGCTTGTCTGCTATCTGTATAGATGAGCATATTCCTTCCAGTGATATTGTTTCTGGGTATTTCTTTTGCTGCTATGATAATCCCCGTTAGCTCTGTTTATACTACAATGGCACTATTACTCACAACCCATTTTATGTTTAGGTCTAAGAATCTGGAGTATATTCCACATCGTGAGCCTTATTTTGTTTTAGAACCGTCTTCGTTCGAACAAATTTCGATTAGATAATCTAAATATATTTTGTTTCAAGGTCAAAACTCATCTTCTTCCTATTTATTCATTTTCAAAGGTGTTGAAAAAATAAATTAGAGTAGTGCATAAAAGAATAACTAATGGTAAAAAAATGAACCAAATTCTAAAAGCGAATAACTGGATTAGTCCATTAAAATACAATAACCTCAAAAAGTGGTGTATCTGAGTGTTGTGGATTTTATTTAATATCTCTATATATATACAGTAACTATAAAATTATGGATTCTAGAAACCATTAATTGTATTTATTAACAGATAGGTATATTTTACAAGGTACTTATCTTCAGTGGGGATATTTATTTAAAAGTTTTATGCAGCAAATTGTACTTCTGGTTAGCTAGAAAAATCATAGTCTCCTTTGTGAACTCAGAATTTTCTGGCACACCTAGTGTGTTGTACATTATTTAGCAACATATTATTAACATTAAATTTTAGAAAACATTTTATTTTAAGCTAACAATAACTCATCATACTTATAATGTATGCAAATCAGTAGAGTTAACAGAATTAATATAGCTAAAATGCAGTGGCGGTTTGCCCGTAAGGGCACTTGGGCACGCGCCCTAGTATAATAAACAAAAAAAAAATAACTTACATATTTCATATTTTTCTCAATGCCTATTATTATTTTATCTAATATTCAGCGCAAACCGCGTTGGCACGACACTGGACGACCGGGCGTTGAGCGACGTTTCGAGAATTCCGAAAGAAGATGGGCACAGGGCACAGTAAATGTGTGCTCCTATTGTTTTCTTTCTCATTATGATGCGAAAAACAAGGACAACGACAATATCGCTTAGCAAGAGATGAACACATGCGATGGATTATACGTCACAAGCGGAGCGCTGTCCTAGACCAGATATGGAATGTACGCAGAGGCATCTTTACCCCACAAAGACGATATGCCGGTTTCGGCTGAAGGTGCGCGTTTGTTGGACCATGATAATAATTTATTTATTGTGATTACGAAAAAACGTTAGTTGGACCATTGGAATAGTTAAGAAATAAAACTACAAAGAAAAATAACTTTTTTTATATAAAGCAGTCAAAAATATGATGAAAAAAACTCAATAATATTTATAAATGGGACAAAATTTTTATTTTTCTTTTGGTTTTGTCTGACTTTTTCGAGGATTTCAAATCTCTGTTTGCATATTTAAGAGTATAAATAATTTAATGATGTACATTTTCGCAAATTGTTGGCAAGGATGACCAAATTCTATTTTGCTCATCTCAAAAAGGTATGCGTTGGAAATTCCAGGCTTAGTTGACAAACTATCAAATAAAGATATAAATATTTTTTCTAATTTGAATATATAAAAGAGAAATTTTTCGCTGGGAGATTTTTCATTTCTTCAGAGTCGTATGCTTTAAAATGCGTTAACAAGTTATAATTGTTAAGTAAATTGCATTCTTCTGAGAAATTTACGCAAATTTCGCAAGAGTGGATATGTAATGATTTTTTTGATTAAATAGCCACATACATAGTTAAATGCATTTTGAGTGGTCACATTTAGCTCCCTGTAGTCACATTCAGAAATTGTTATTGCCCCAACTGATTGTTTTGAAATATATTTAATTTTCATTAAGCGGAGAACTTGTTTTCCTAAGGGAAAAACGAATCCCGGGATTCCTTTCCAGTGTGTGCCCCACTGCCGCTAGTGCCCACGAGTTGCCATTGCTAAAATGGTAGATGAAGTTCATTGCAAATAAACTAAAACTGGACCATTTACTTCGACAAAAAAGAAGAAACAAATAAATACCAAGGACAAGGTAGAAAAATTGGTTCAAAGCCTCACCATATTCTCTTTCCACTAGAGAAACCAAAGAGAACATTATTGAATTTATGACAATTTAAAAACTTACTATGGGCTATATCTTATAAATGAAAGATGATATCAAAAAATGCTTAAAACAGTTTCTAGGATGAGAAGGGAGAACTAAAATTACAAACAAGACAAATCACTTTCATCAACCCCCTAGGCCCCACCTCCCATAACTAAAAAAGTTTAAATAGCAAACCCCTACTTGTGATACATCATTGAAAAGCCGATAAAAAATTCTATTCAATGGTATAAATAATAATTGTACAGGGTGAATCAATAATTATGAAACTTTGCCTTAAAAGTTTTTGTTGAACCACAAATTTGTGAGTTCCCTTTTATGTCATTTTAGTTCCCCCTTCCTATCCTAGAAACGGTTTTAAGCATTTTTTGATATTTTTCGTTTGTGAGATATAGCCCATTGTAAGTTTTTAAATTACCACACTGTATAACAAATATATATGGAAATTTTAAATAAACATAACATTCATAACTTAGTAAAATCAATTAAATTCATGTGTCAAATATACTTAAACATTATTATTAAAGATATAAAAATGTTTAAAAGCATGACAGTTTTTATAAGTGGGTAATTTGTGCCTTTTTACAAAATAAAAAATAAACTCTACACAAAGAATAAAATGAAAACCTTTAAAAAAATTTAAAAAATGTAAAATTGGTAATTTATTTATAATTAATATATTCCTCATAATTTTGTTATAAATATTCAATAGTGTACCCTTTAATTTTCCCAAGGACAAAGAGGAAAAAACGGCAAGACACAGGAAAGAGGAAGAAGAGAAAAAGAAGAGGCGCAAGAAAGATGAAGAAGAGGAAAAGGAAAGGCGGAGGACGAAAGAATATGAAAAGGAAAGAAAAATGAAGAAAAGGAAGAAGGCAAAGAAAAGAAAAAGGAAGAAGGAAAATGAGGCAGAGGAAAGGTCATGGAGGAGGAAGAAGAGGAAAAGGAAAAGCGCAGGAAGGACGAAGAAGAGGAGAGAGAAAGGTGATAAGATGAGAAAGAAAGGCGCAGAAAGGACGAGGAGAAAGAGGAGGAGAGGCGTAGAGAAAAAGCGGTTGAAATTATGAATGTTGTTGGCTTAATAGTAGAGTAAATCTTTTAGCACAACAACAAGAAATTGTATAAACTAATGTAGAACAGCAGCAAGAGAAGTTAATAACTAATTTAGAGCACCAACAAGAAAATTTAAAAAATAATTTAGAGCACAAACAAGAAAATTTAAAAAATAATTTAGAACAACAAGAGAATTTAAAAACGAATTTAGAATAGCAACGACATAACTTAAAAACTAATTTAGAGCAACAAGAGAATTTAAAACAACAGCACATGTCTAGAATAAAGTTAGAAAGGCAAATTAGAACGGAGTTAGAAAGAATAATTCGTAGCCAAACTTTGGTAAGCAGCATTGAAGCTGAAAATACTACCTAGTCTTCATCTATAGCCGAACCAAAACATTCAAACTCCAGTTATACAAAACCATATTAGCAAAATTAAGAAAAAAATTCCAGGACAGTGAAGAGGCCATTACAAATCTTAAACATCCTGCAAAATATTCAACGAAACAGCCAAAATAAGAGCAAAATATGCTTCAATTGCGAAAGAATCGGACACCTTCAAAGAACCTATAGAAG